CACCGCGACCAGGGCCCGCCCACCGCGACCAGGCCACGCCCACCGCGACTAGACGCCCCCCGCAGACCTCGACTAGACCCCGCCCACCGCGACTAGACCCCGCCTCGCCGCTGCCAGGGCCCGCCCCGCCCTGCAGAGTGTCCGCACCGCGGCGGGACCCGCAGCCCCCGCCTAGGTAAAAATTCGCGCGAGAAGAGAAGACAGTCGGCAGACCGCCTGCGGCCCTCCTGTGCGCGGGCGCAAGGGGCTCTTCCCGGAAGAGGGCTCGGCCAGGTCGCCGGCGCGGCGCGGTCCGCAAGCCCGGGTCGAGGAGGCGCCCGCCAGGCAGGTGCACCGCGGCCGCACGCGCGGCCTGACCCTCCCGGGGCCCGGAAGGAGGTGCGACAGGCGGTGGAACGAGACGCCCGTTCTTCAGGACCTGGGGCTGTGACAGTGTGCCATTCCTTGCACTTTTCCACCTTTCCAAAGTGTTATTTCCTGCTGACTCTTCGCGTCTCTGTGCCTGCAGGTCAACTGATTTAAGAAAGAAAAAAATTGTATTCTGTGTTGAAATAAGTGAGTCATGTCAGGGTAGTGTGAATACAAACTTTAAAAGGTTGGGTTGCACTATTTTTAAAAATCTATTCTCCATGCAGTTCTGCAAAACCTAATTCCCTCTTCGTGCGATTTCTCCTTAGCCTGCAAATAGACATCAAATAAATCTGCGAGTTTTAGCAAATAAAATCGAAGGTCAAATTGACATGAAGTGTCCGAGTGTGACAAAATCTTAAAACAAGGTACGGGTTGCAGAGGCGCCTGAAATACTGTGAAGTCTGTTGGAGTCCAGGAAGGAAGACTGGGCTTGGCTGCATCTTTCCTAACTGCGAGGCGCCCAGAGCACTGAAAATAGGCTATCGAGTTCTAAAGTTCCGAGTGGAGCAGATGGGCAGAAGCAAATACCTGGACAATCTTGCTTCCCTCTTAAACTTGAGCAAATGAAATGAGAGAGAATTGGTGCTAGTGTTCTTTCATCAAATTCTATGCAAAGATTCGTGATCTTTTTTGAATTCTCACATTCCTTACATTCAAAGCAGAAACGTGGGGCTGGGGGTTTAGCTCAGCGGCACAGCACCTGCCTGGCAAGTGCAAGTTCGTGAGTTCGATTCCCGGTACCAAAAAAAAAAAAAAAAAAGCAGAAACGTGTTCAAACACTTACTGTTTCAGTAGACTTGGACGGCCAGTGGATGAAGGTAGTTTTGGTTTTCTTCTATGATACAGTAGAAAAAACCCAGAACAGAAAGTGAGGAGACCAGTGTGGACCTCAGCTGAGCCACTGCGCCTGTTCACCCCTCAGGTGCTTCCTTTGACAAGAGGTGGGACCTCAGCCCCTCTGACACTGACCTGGAATCAGATGAGGTGGCCCTATCTCAAAAATAAATTACCTAATTAAAATTTTTAAAAATTAGTGGGCCAAAAGCAAGGCAGCAAGAAAAATTAAGTTGAATTTCATCAAAATTGAAAATGTTTGGCTTCAAAAGAGTGAAAAAGTAACCCTCAAAATGTGAGGAAATATTTGCAAATCGTATATTTGAGGAGAGTAATATCTGGAAAAAGAAAGAATTCTTAAAACTCAACAGCAAAAAAACAACTTGATTTAAAAATTGGCCAAAAAATACCTTGAATAGTTATTTTTCCAGAGAAGGTAAGTCCACTTTAAAAGATACTCGGTATCACAAATCACTAGGAAATCCAGATCAAAACCACAAGATGCCACTTCACATACATTAGGATAGCCACTATCAAAAAACAAAACAGACAAATCAAAACTAGAAAATAACAAGAGTAACATGGAAAAACTGAGGCCCTTGTGCATGTTGGAATGTAAAATAGTGTACCTATTATGGTGGCTCCTCAAAAACTTAAATAGAACTGCCATATGATAGCAATTCCACTTCTAGATTATACCCAAAAAAGTGGGAAGCAAGGACTCAAATACAATTGTACAACACTTCCCCAGCTGCATTACTCATCTACCCAAATGATGGAAGCCACTCGAGTGTCCATGGACAGAAGTATGGGTGAACAAGGTTGACATGTGCTACCTGGATGAACCTCAAAAGCATCATATTAAGTGAAATAAGTCTCTCACAAAAGGTCAAATGTGACACGATTCCACTTTGTATGGGGCACCTTGAATAGTCAAACCCACACAGGGAGTTTGGAATGGTGTCAAGTCTCAGTCAGGGAGTGGAATGGTGGGCACCAGAGAGGGAGTGGGAGGTAGTGCTTAATGAAGACGCCTTCCATTTGGGCAGATGAAAAAGTTTTGGAGACGGGCAGTGGTTATGGTTGCCTAGCAATTTGAATGTCCTTAATGTGCTCAAATCACACACTTTAAATAGTTAAAATGGTAAGTTATATGTTAGGTTACAGCACAATAAAAATGATCACTGCTTTCATCAATGAAAGATGCCCTTACTACTTATGAGAAACCTGTTCTAGAAACTAGACAATCCAAGAATGCTGCCCTGCCAGCCAACAAGCACTCACAGGCGGCTTTCTTTGTGGACACGAAGTCATTTCCTACCTGGGGCTGTGCCCGACACGTGGGTGCGGAGGAGGAAAACGCTGGGGAAATGCTGTCTCTCTCCTTTTCTCTTCTGCTTCTTCCCATTTGGGTCAGTAGAATCTTAGAGATTAAATTAGGTAGTCAGCGGAGAATGACATTCAAAACCTACCAACATTCCCACACTCCCTATGCAAAAGCCCCTCATGGCTTTGTCCAAGGCTCTCCCAGATACAGCCCTTTTCTCTCCTACAACTCTTGGACTCTTCAGCACTGGAATGGGACGTAAGGCCGCGCAGCAGGCCTAAGAGCACGAGGGACTGAGGGTCACTACAGAGGCTGCAAGCCACTGGACTTCAGGAAAGTCATATTTGCGTACAATTTCATGAAAATACGGAAATATTTTGAGTTAAACATTTTCCAAAAGCAACTCTTCTTTTTCCTCATCTATAAAACAAAGACATTGAACTAAGTGAGCTTGAGGGAGTCATATATTTCATACACATTACATGGTGAGTTATTTCATATTTTAGGACAGAACTTTGTGGTAGTCGTTTTCAGCCCTCAGCTCTACCTCTCTACGTGCTCCCAATACTTGGTATTGCACAATAAGCCTAGTAAGGGTGTGGATTTATTTATATAAATGTTTTGGTCCAGATGTCTCATACTGAATACCTTCTAAAATTCTTGATACTCAATACATGTACAGCAAGTATTTATTTCCAATTTTTAGTTAACTTCACTCCCTTCACCACTATTAGCTTTTACTGTATTGACAAAGCCATCCTTTTCTGTAATCATCACCATCAACCAGCATCCAACTGGTTTACTTCTCTGAAAGCAGGGACTGCAGCAGGTACTTTATGTGGTGGGCGACCTTGAGAAGCACAAAGCTGAGAGATACACAAAGAAAAGCCATTCAGGGATCCATTACTGAGTTGCCTGCCACATTGGTCTGTTAGAAGTCAATTCCAGTCGGGACTGTCTGGGGAACCCCGTGAACGCATGTCAGAATGTTCCCTCCCAAGGACAAAGGGCTGACATGTTTATCTACCAATTTTCCTGCCTCCGCCATCGCTGGCTGGGGCGCCAGGGCAGTCACCTCCCCTGTTTGTCACAGTGCGGACTTGCTGAGCTGTGCTTTGAGAGAGCTGGAGTCTGGAAGACAAAGCAGCCCTGGGGTGCATGGAGCTGTCCAGCACCACTGCGGCTGAAAGCTAGCGAAACGCATGGCAGGCCACAAGGACGCCCCAAGTGTCTCCCGCAGTCTGTCCTGTGGACCTTGAGATCTATTTTGCCATATATTAAGTTGATTCTGGCAATTTTTAAACATATTCAGTCGCTAACTCTCAAGAGGACTGAAGAGAATTGTGCAGCAAGCAGATGGCCTGCACACCTGCCCAGAGGCCATAATGGACACTCACAGGTCCCTTCTGAGTTTTCACTGCCTATTCTAGACTTCCCTCACCCTTGGTGAGCACCCTTGGTGATGACATGTTATTTCCCTGAAAAACAAAAGCTCTTAGAGACCTTGTCTGTGACAGCCTGAGGGGCAGTTGAAATTTTTTCAGTGCTTTTATCAGGTGTGGAAGAACAGAGGTATCCCAGTGAATGTTTTAAGGTTTAGAAATACTCCTCCCTTCTTCTATAATTTAGTAACAATCCTAGGTGCTAATGATAACCAGGATCGATGACCCTTCCAGTATAAGAATGCCTTTCTTTGTCTACCAGCCCCTCACCAGGCAGAGCCAGAATGAACACGTGGCAGTCGTAGCTGTAGTTCTGAAGAACCTTTACTGCATTTTCTTGTATAAGTGAGTCTCTCCCCCTTACTTCCAACAGCAAACAAGACCTATAATCTAAAAGAGCTTAAAGATATAGGAAGAAGAAGCACAAGTTCTTCAGGGGGATCCCTGAGTGTGATGGTGAGAGTTGCCTTTCCTACACCTCCACCTTGGTTTGCATCTTCTAGTATCTAGCCACCAGGTACACAGCACCATGTATCAGTCACTGGCTGAAGTCACCTACCACAGCATGTAGGCAGCTCCCAGTCATGC